TAGTTGAAATTGGAGAAAAAAAATGTCAAGGAATAATGTCTATTGCTAGATTCTTACGTGACTTCAATAAAGATAAATATGTTTATAGCAATTTTGAAAACCATCATTTGTTTGCAACTATTATGGTGGTGGCATTTTATTATGAATAAACTTAGTATGATTTTATTACAAACAATGTGTAATATTAAACCAAAATTGTTTAAGTTTTTATTACGATTTATGGAAAAAAGATAAACCTAATCCAAAAAAAAAAATTAAATACCTAAACACATTTCTTAAAAATTACCTGGCATCGAAACTAGCATCAATGAAGGCTGTATTTCATCAGTTAATAAAAGAATACTTGTAGTACCCATTTCTTCCATCACAGTAAAATCACTAATTGACACATTATTCCATTCTTTAACTGGTAAAAATGTAAACGCACATACCAATAACATTGTTTTTGAATCAGTTAGGCAGATGATGAAACTGTAAAAATAAATTGACAAGGTTAAAAAAATAGATGAAACTATACAATAGTAGGTATATACTATATTGTAAATAAATGCTGCAAAGAAACAAATTTATTATATTAATTTTTGTATAGACTCAAAATTTAAATTTAAAATGTTTTGAATTAATTTACTAGAACTATGCTTTATACATTTTTAAAAACTTAAATATGTCGATAGAGAATGAATTATAAATTATAAAAATAATAAAGCTAATAGTATTATAAAATATTTTCTTACCTTTTATCCTGAGTGAAAACAAGTTTTTTAATTTTACAGTTGTCAGGGAATAAAAATTCCTTAGACCTCATGTTTTCTCCTTCATATAGACAAATACTGTCACCAGCTATTAAAATATTATCATGCATTCCACAGACTGTATTTACCTATTTGAGTTAATTAAGTTAAAATTAAATGCACATAAAATATTTATTACCTCAACTTACATTTTCATGGATGTCAAATGTATTCAAAGTTATAAGATTTTCTATGGTTTTAAAATCATTATTAAGAACAGATTTTTCCATTAGTTCTGTGACATTGACACAAATAAACCTACAAATAATTCAGGTTTATAATTTATTTAATAAGGTTATAAAGGAAATTTTAAAAGATAAAACTTTTCTTAATAAAACATTTCTTYAATCTATTTATTACATACTTGTTGATGAATCCAGATGATGTAATAACTGTAATATAGAAGTGGTTTTCTTTATGAGAAAAGAAGAGACCTACAGGTGATTCCATTTCTGAGGGCAAGCAACGAGGATTTTTTGATACTTTCCTGAAATTAAAATGACATATAAAAGTACATCATAATTATTAGGAAAATTTAGTTTTTGAAAGATTGTAAATTATATATAAAACATTTTTTATACCTATATAAGTAAGAATTTGTTTTAAATATTATAATTTATAATTTATATTAAGTACCTCCTACAAAGTATTTACCATTAATGCCTAAATGTGTAGACATGAAATAAATGCTAATAAACTTTTTTTATAAGTAATAAGAAAAAAATTAGAATTCAAATACCTTGAGGAAAAATGTAATTAGATCATGAAAATTGAAGTATTTTTATTCATGGATATAATATAACAATCAATTATACAGAGACATTTTTGTTTTAGTTTTAACTTCTTATATAATTGCTATAAGTAAATAATTTTTACAAAGAACTTTTGAATATGCAAATTTATTAGTCTATTTGTGTACTTGAATATAAGAATCAATATGTACTTGATAAATAAAATCCTTGGGTTTGTAAATGAACAACAGTATATAGTCCAATCACATAATAAAACTATTAAGAAACATCCATCATCTGATATTTTAGCATCTACTATTTGGTTAGGAAATCCAAATGTCTGATTGATTTCTGTTACGCTAGTATTAAATGAAGTGAATGATTGGCCTCCTGAAATGTACATTAAATYTGGTGTACACATAGCACTGATCCTTAGGTCTTCTTTGGATACACATTTTACATCACATGTTCTTTTTATTGTGGCCAAAGTGGTTGTTTCAAATATTCTGCTGTCACCAATAGCTACAGCACGAGTACCAAAATTTATAGTCTCGTCAGCTGTACTATAACCAATCGTTATACCGTTCCACATAATGAAATCTTATCAATAACTCTAATAGAACATAAACAATTTTTTATTTTAGAATTAATATACCTTTAAACTAAATGTATTGGATAATTACTTCTGATAAAAAATTATACTAACATATTTCTGAATTAATTTCTCAACATGCTTGATGTTATAATTCACATTCAATATTGTGTATAATTTATAGTTTGAACCTTCGGTGTCTTAATTCTAAGAGTTCTTTTTGTAACTTTGTCTATAATGTTAAATGATAAATAATTATAGTTAAATCTAATAATAATTTTTTATATCATTTTAAATAGCAATCACAATACTAATGTAATTTGAGCAATAAATTAAGATATATATCTTATTATATAATACACTAAATACCTACTTATGTGTTTAACTTGAATGCTGTCTGTTGTTAATTGTTATAGAACTTATATAACTGAACGGCTGAACTTGATGTCCAGAGTCCTGAGTCGACCTGACTCCAGTCACTACTCTCCAGCTGATATAATATATTCCAATAACTAAACTAAGTATTAACTATCATGTTATTCCACAGTTTACATAATTTATCTCTGAAGAATAGAATTTTGGCGCTAAAATTATCATTAAATCAACAAAGAATATCATGAAAGAAAAGACATTTTTTATGTTATCAAATTTATTTATTTCATCAAAATCACAATCAAAGGTTATGGCGGCAAATTGTTAAACACTGATAAATGATAATAAAAACTTGTATTTTAAATTTAGTAACATCTTAGATTGGGAAAATTACTCAAATTAGACTTAAACAAACATAATTGCTAATCAGAGTGAATATTTTCAATTTTGTATTTTTGAAAGAAACAAGTGGTCGTATATTCGCATCGTATAATTTGTATTTCGAGAAATAAATTAATATTATGCATATGCAACACATTAAATTTATCTAATAT